TCTCTCTCTCTCTCTCTCTCTCTCTCTCCCCTCTCCCTCTCCCTCTCTCTCTTTCTCTATATCTCTCTTTCTCTCTCTCTCTCTTTCTCTCTCTTTCTCTCTCTTCTCCAAAAGTATGATTGTGCTTCCAGAGAAGTCACAGATGCTATAAAGGTAACTACCACCACTCTACAATCATGCTGCCGTGAAGACATAAGTTCTCGCGATAAGCCTTAGACTTACAAGTCGCGGTCGCTTGACGGGGGAAGCGCCAGAACGCGGTGCCAACAAAACAGACCGATACCTCAACCTCAACCACATCAACTACAACTACAACTGCAACTACTGCAACAACTACAACTACAACTGCAACTACAACTACACCTACAACTGCAGCTACTATGAGAAAAGTTTGTTTGTGTTTGTTTCTTGTCCTCACGGGTCTGCTTGGCTCAGGACACAGCCGAAATGTCTTGCAGACGACCGCCCAAGACGCCGGGCATACAGCAGGTATGTTGTGACTATCACCGTGGTCTGAACGTTTTGAAAGTTTAGGCAAATTTTTCTTATCACTTTTACTGTTGCAGGTCGTAAATCTATTTCCTGATTTGTTCCAACAAGTTTAATTGGTTGCTCTTAAGTACAAGGGGGATATCCCGAAAAATGCTGCTTTGAGAAAATCGAAGATAACGTTTTTAGAACCTTATTCAGTTTCTTTCAAAGACAAGGAGAGTTTTCTCTATAATCAAACTTATATACGCACCAATGAAACCAAACTTTTCCTATAGGTAGGGCAATGCCCACTTTTGGTGAACGTGAAGATTTTTGGAAACCCCCGAAATCTGGGTTAGCTTGCTTGTCCTTAGAAGCGACCGATTTGAAATATGTATACGTTAGCATTTTTGGCAGGCTTTAAGATACGATCATGACGTATTACCCACCAAAACGTTAAGAAAATAAGAAAAGTTTAAGGTACGCGAAGACACAGTTGCAATACAGGCAAGCAGGTACTTGTTATGAAAGAGGACAACAGGACCCCCACCCCGCCCCCCCAAAAAGAACACACACAAAAAAGCAACAACAAACAAACAAACAACCCCCCAACCCCCCACCCCCAACAAGAGCAAACAACAACAACTAACAAACAAAAACCGAAAAAACAACAACCAACAAGCAAGCAAGCAAACAAAGAAACAAGCAAACGAAAGGAAAAGAAGATAGAATTGATATGTAAGCATAAAAACAAATTTGAAATACAGGCGAGCAAGTATTTATGATGAATGAGAAAAACAAGGAGGAGTATAATTTTTAAAAATAAAAAAATGATATTATAAGGACATAGTTGCAATGCTGGCAAGCAGCTATTTATAATAACTGACGAAAAAAACAACAACAGAAAAAAGAACAACAACCCAACAAGCAGTCCAACCAACCCCCCCC